AGTTGGGGATCTCCTAACTTGTGGCTGCCAATTATATCACAGAATCAGAACCTACCTAGTTTTTTTTTTGTAATGAAGAATATCATCACACAAATAAGATAGAGGAATTATGATACATTCAATGGTGAGATCAAAATATTCTCTAACATGGGGAATTTACTATGAGAGATTTGATAATACTAGCTCTCTTGTAAGAGCTACAAGTATTTTTGATAGACTACATCTCCCTTGCACAAGTAGTTTGCATTCTATGCACTAAGAAGATGGAACCAAAGAAATTTTTGGCCTATCTCGTAAAGCTCATCTCTGTCCAAGGATTTACTTGAGTGCCTTTTCTCATCTATTCATTTTCTTTCTTTCTTGTTTTGGATGGATCAAAAGAAAAAAAGGGAAGCCCATGATAAATCAAAGATAAAACTTTTCTCATTGCTGTAAATAACTTTTTTGGATGTGTTGAGGAGGCAAATATAATATTTTACAATGTAAATGAGATCAAGATGAGCCCCCTTATCTCTTTTTAATAGGCATCTATGTGAGGCCTCTTATTGATTTTTCACAAAAATTGTGAATTACATCTTCAACAAAGGAATTATATACTACCATAAGAATACCTTAGATGATGATTTTATGATACTGCATGGTAATTTTTAAATTAAATATTTTTAATATTATCATTTGATAATTTTTTTTGTGGTGAATATTAATCCACAACATGAAATCGATGATTAGCCTATTTCACACTAACTCTGTGTTCTGCATCTTACAAGAATTCATACTAGTATGAAGTGAAAACATGATAAAGTGGCTAAACAAATTTTGAGTCAGTGAATTTGTTAGTTTGGTTTATAATTAAGCCATGGGTATTCCACTAATCTAATGGTAGGAAAGCTTTTACTCATAAAGGATGCATTCTTAGTGTGATTTAGATCTTGACTGTCTATTTTGGTAACTCTTTCTCCTATAGCTTTTTTTCTCAATAGAGATTTCCTATTCCTATGCTTCTTCCATCTTCTATTTTATTTTAATCTTGTGCAGTTGGAATCTTGTGCGATTGACATGGAAGCATACTTTGTGTCACCCAAAAAGATAAGTGCTTTGTTTTGACTGTTGTCATAGTTTTCTTATGTTTCAGAGTATTGTAAGGGGAAAGAGACACACAACACACAAACTTTTATTGATTTTCCTGAGCCCTTTTTGTAAAGAGTGTTGTCCTAAACAAGCTTATAGGTGATTTGTTGGCTAGAAGACTGTCCCTTTTTCCAAAGTGAAACCATCATAATTATAACTGATTACTTCCATAAAATGTGATAATATTAGGTGAATATTGTCTAATGTCCCTTAGTCTCCTTGCCCTTGTCTAGTCTAAACTGGTTACCAAATGCTCCTATATCTTGGGACAAAGTTAGCTTCTGAGTCAACTAAATAGTCTGCAGTAATTTATCTGACCAACTCATGGTATTATTCTATTTTTACATTATGATTTAAAATACTTTGGTAAATGACGAAGTATCAACATGTTCCAAATCCTTTGTTGAGAATACTTTGGTAAATTATTTCTGCCAACAACAATAAGATTTCATTGTTTCCAAATTATTTCACGTGTCCTCTTTCCTTGTGTAGAGATGTAAATGGGCTAATAGAAATAAGCCAGACGATTTGGCACTGATTATTCTAACAGGCAAGGAGATGAGCTTAACCTGAGAGAATTCGAATATAATTATTATCAATGAGTACTCAGGGTGCAACGTTAGAGATTGATGAAGCACAAAAACTGCACAATTTTGAAGTAATAAAAATATAAATATAGTACAATTTGGAGTACTAAGGAAAAGACTTTTAAATCGCTCAAGCCAACAGTATTTATTGGGTTCCCGATGAATTATTCTGTCTAACGATAAACAGTTTGGGAAAATATAATTGCATGGTCTCACGAGTCTGCGGTTCCTTGAACTTTCTAGGGATAACGCTGGTTCCTTGAAATTTCTGCGGTTCATTTCAGTGGTTAATTTCACAGATCCAGTGAATGCTTACGTTTTTCTGAAAGACCAATGAGAATATGCTCGGACACTTTCTGTGGAAGCTTATGCTCGGACCAAGCTTGTTATCAGTCAAATGTCTATTTAAAGATAACTTTTTCTTTGCTAAAATGGAATGAAGTGTCTGGTCGAACACTGTTGGTCCTGAGAGGAGAGTGGTTTTTGTTGGGTTTTTAGTTTCTCGAAGCTAATCCAGGACACCCAGAAGTCATAATTTTCTTACATCGTCAAAATGATCTACAAAGGATGAGGTGGGCTTCCCACAGTCACGTTTAATACATCCTCGCTAACAGTAGAAAGCCAATACATTCTTCTCTGACAGTAGATGATAACGCCCGCCGCGCTACAAAACCAAAGAGAGCTCGATGACAGCAACTCAAAGATAAAATCGGAAAACTACTTGTACATATCTGACAATGCTAGAAGAGAACATCAGGGTTGTCTTTCTCTCCTCCACCATCGAGCTTAGAATCTCAACTCTCTACTGCGCTTGACGGTTATCTCATCGTTACTGAGAGAGTTTAAGGCTTGTTTGAGGCATCAAAAGGAGCTGAATATTGATGTTCCGAAAAGGAAATAATCGGGCACAAAGGCAAAAAGGCACAAAGACAAACTTTGTTTGGAAGTGAAGAAGACTCCACTATTATTTGTTCAATCCTGGCGTATACACCCCCAAGTTTGCAGGCGTTTGCTCTTTGCCTCTTCTTTACTGCTATAGTTTGCACGATTTTCCTTGTGCTCATGCAGTAAAGGAACAAAAAGAACTAACGTGGGGCTGTCGTCCTATGGTTCAGGGCTGACTAAGCGTGCTGGAATGCTCATAGATATGAGCCTCTCGCTGCCGCACAAGACGGTCCCAGTTTTTGTAGTCAACATCATTTCACAGAAAAGGTTCAAGCATTCAGAGGATATTTACCTTCCAAGACAGAAACGAGCTTCACCCAATATAATGAGTGATAATTCCAGTGTTTTGTGCAGCTGAATGGGGTAAAAAGGACCCATTTTACACTCGTTGTATACGCGGTTTGTTAAATGTGAGGTTTCTTAGTATGTTATATTGTATGCTCGTAATTTTGGAAGGGAAAAGGTATGCTGCATCTGTCTGTGGAGCCTTTTTCCTTTTCTCGTCCTCATCATATTCGAAGATTGAAGTGTAGCAGCGAAAATCTAGCGTTAGCTTTGAAATAGCCCCAGGATTCTTCTCCTCTAAGAGGATTTTCTACGGGTATAACTTGCGATGCCGAGTACGTTTTCGAAGTTACAAGCTAAATAAGTACATAGAATCGTCCATTCATTTTGCATCGCCCTCTCACGTCAGCGTTCAGATCTTCTAAAGAATCATGACACTGGAATAATGATTTCTTGTTTCCCGTAACGATTATGGGTATAAAAACGATGGATATAATAAATACCTGTAATCAAGAAGATCGAATCGTAGTGAATAATTTTGTACCTAGTCGTCACAGGGTGGAAACATATCCAAACACGAGTGAAGATCGTCCACTGGATTCGTCCTTCCGTGAGCAGCTAGCAAACCGACAGATACAATAGGCTTCTAAGGTGAACTTTCATGGCTGCTGACACGTGATTAGGCAAGCCGTAATGTACGCAGCAGCCAAGGAGAACCACGATCACAAACATCAAACGAAAGGATTCCACCTTACAGGTAGTACGCCTTCGTTACAGCAACCGGATCACACAAAATAGACATGCGTATTCCGATCAAGGATCTGGGGGAAGATTCTTTATTCAATGGAGTTGCGTTTACTAAGTTCTATTCTTCATTTCCTTCCTTACAAAGAAGACGATTAATTTTCTCGCTTTTATTGCAATATCACGATTCACCGGGTGTTTTCCTGATACCCTCGAGATCCGCAGACCTTAAATTATTTTACAGAAGATCTCGTCTTCTGTGGATTCAGACGCCTGATTCTAGCGTTTGTCATTTTTCGTAGTTGGAAACATGGACTTAAGAGATGAGAGCTTCACCGATTACGCGATTTTTGCCACTCTGGGCTAAATGAATTATTAATTGGGGCAACTGCCTCTTGCTAAAAACAAGATCCACAAAGGATTCGCGTTGCTAAAATATTATGTGAAAAGCCATGTATCTAAAGAGGCTTGTCCTTCTGCGAGAAAGAGTATCATGCATCGGGACGGCATAAAAAGGCGATTGGTTGGTAAAAAAGAAGAAACAGACGGAGCAAAGGGTAACTTAGGTTCGCATAGCGAACAATTGCATGTAGTCATATCCGAATCGAGTAGAGAAGAAAACATGAATCTAATTAGAGGTGAATGTAAAGGTGATGATTCTTTTTCCACATTACCAAAGGGAAACCAAATCTAATGAGTTTATTGCTCCCTATTGACGCGCAGTAAGAAAAAACGATAGATATACGCTGAGCTGCGAAATGGAAGTAAATTTAAAACGACCATCTCTCTATTTCAGGAAAAAAATCGGGGAACTTTTAATGGAATTGAAAATCAAAAGTTTACTTCTTAAGATTCGTCTCCCCAATTAGTATTATGAAGGCACAAACCACCCACCGGTTTCTTGTGAGCTATAAGTACACGTCTCATTCTACCTTTGATTTACGCACATAGCAGTAAGCCGACCCAGCGAGAAAAGCCCGCGAGGACAACGATGGCATCAAAGCATTACCCCCTTACAATCGCCAAGCTTCTGACAGTTATGTCGCTTCTAGCCTTTTTCATCTCGTCAGGTATGTCGCGAGCAAACCTATTCCATAGATAAGAGTTCCATTTAGCACACATGCTGGGTATTTGATAAGTATCCTATTAGTGGTGCATGGGAAAACTACAACAAACTATAGCGACATTCTGTGCATTTTGTGACTTGTTTCTTTTTGTTATGTACACAGCTGTGGCACAGACTATATGCCCTCCAGCAGCATACTGCTCTACCTCTCAGAAAAGGTGCACCGCAATTGACTGCGCTGTACAATGCTTGTCAGAAAACAAGGGAAGCACAAGTTCATGTTGTGGAAGCAACGGTTTGTGCTGCTGCTACAGATAATACGTGGCATCTTTCTGATGTGCCTCTGCCTTCGTCAATAAAAAATCCTTTAATACGCAGTCTGCTATGGTTATCCCAATATTACTGATTTTGAAATAAGTTATTTCCAAATATCAGTAAATCCTTCAAAGGTCTTGTGTGGATGCTCCCTATGGATACCATTCATATACAAACAGTGTGACAAATAGTTATATGATTTATCCACTACGTAAAAAAAGGGATAAATCTTGGGACAAACATAACAGCGCCATTTTGACGTGATAATCCAAGGGTAGTCACATCACTAGAGCATCTGAAAATTACACCAGCAGAGGCGCCAAGTAAAATTAAATCTCTTGTTGAACTTTGATTAGTAATGAACCTGCCATCGGGACCACACCATCAAAAATGAGCTCCACTCTTTGCATGTTTACCACTGAATTACAACATTTTAATTTCCTAAGATCTATCGCTTTGGAATTTATTGGTAATTCAATCAAAAGGGTTTTCTCTGATTAAATTAAAAAAGATTTAACTCTTTCTAAAAACAAATGTACTGGAGGTTTCAGAATGACATAATGTTATGAGTGTATGCTTATCCTTTACGTGATGGTACATGTCATGCAACTCTACCATTTGTAATACAACTCGTGTGTTAAAACTAATGAAAATTGAATGTTTTGTGAAAAAAATTCGTTAGATGGTATTATTTGTGGAAACAAATTAGTTGTCCATCAAAGAATATCAAACAAATATTTTTTTCCTTTATCACATGTAGTTTAGCAGTTTGAGAAACTGATTGCATGCAAAGGTTCTTTGAGCTGAAGACAAATTGAGTTTATGACAAACATTCTTTGAACCAAACCCAAATGTTCTAACCAATGTTCTAACAAAAGGCACTACTGAATTCAATAATAATTTATTTTCTCTACTAACATAAATTTTTACTTTCGAGATTGATTTGGTGATACGTGATTCTCCAACAATTGTTTCTATTTTTAAGGTTGAGTTGAAGTAAGTTAATTTGTGTTGTCATCTTCTTCACACATTGCGTTGACAAGTTATTGCCTAGGGTTTGTGCTGAAGACTTTTCTACTTTGATAGGGGCTTCACATAAACGCTTCATTTCAATCATTGTGTAAGTCTTGAGTTGAATTTTTACCTTAGAGATTGACTATTTGATATAACTTCATATGTCCTGATCAACTTTCTAGTGTGTCATTAGTAAGGTCTTGATTTCATATCCCACTAATACATTTGTTCTTCATGATATTCAAATATTTCAGTTGCCATAGGTCTCGTCTTTTTGTAACTTACATCTTGAGTTTGAATTTTTTGCATGACTTCATATGCTCTGATTTTTTTTGCTATTTCTCTCATTGACACTTTTGACTTCATGTCGCTCAAGTCTTGCATTCAAATGCCATAGGTGACTTTGGATTTCTAGATTTTACATAAGATTTCATCACATGTGTTGACATCTATTCATCCGTACTTATGTTTGAACTTTATGACATTACATTGTGTTTTAGTACAAAAAAATCTTGAGCATGTAAATTTTTAGATTTTTTGTTAACTATAAGATTATTTAAGCATCATCAATATATATATTGAATCTTTCTCAAAGATATTGAACGTGTAAACATAAGCTCTCATTATGTCCATTGATAGTTCAATAAATATTCAATAAATATTTCATAAATATTTTTTAAATAAATTTCAATTAGAAGTGTTGAAACTAAGGGCATCAATATAATTCATAGAGTTTTAAAAACTCAACCTTTGTGTCCATAAGAGCTAGATCTTGAGTTCACATGATCAAAAATAACTCCTTAAGTCCACATGAAGGCTAAAATCCACCATTAGAGATAGTGAACCTCTTGAAATGAAGTGAACTTAAAAATAGATTTGTTAAAAGGTGAATGCCTCTAGGGCTATAAGGGTGCACTTTTTATAGGCTGAAATCTAGTTATAACTAACATAGAAAATGGGAAGTACATTAAAATTTCCTCAAGGAAAAGGAGGGTTATGTTAAAAGGCCCTTAACATATTAGGTTTCGAAATTTAAACAAAAATAGGAGTTGAGATTTTGACGCATTTAACATGTGTCCAAAATTTTCTACTATGTCATATCAAACTAAATTTGGGCAAAAAATGTGTCTTCATGCATCTTGGGACTCTTAATCTATTTGTACTAAGGTGAAACTTTGTTGTATCAACTCTCCTTCTGCTTTTAAATTTAAGCAACCCCTAGTGAATTAGAGGATCTGAATTTGATCTTCTAAATTTCAGATTACCTAGTTGTGAATTTATGAGTTGAAGGCACCACTTATATCTTTTCTGCATTTGATCTTTTTAGTATTTGATTTGAGAGTATCTCAAGGTAAATCAGTTGATGTCAATGTCCATCAAAATGAAAATTTATTGTGTTTCAAGAACGAACATATCAAAAATGTTTTGAGATACAATTAGAAAGTCATTTAGGCCCTGAAAGATGTGCTTAGTACGAGTAGTTACAAAAATGTTCATAAAAACATATAAAGTTATTAGCATCTAAACTACTTTTTCTTGGTATAAAGTAGTTATAATCCACAAAGCAAAATTTGTGAGGTAGATGACTTGGGTGAACAATGAATAACTCTAACATTGTGGAGATTGAAATCAAGTCATGAATCCTCGAAAGACGTACTTGTATTGTGGTTCTCTCATTTTGAATCTACAAGTTAGAAGGACAATGTTACGTTTGATGTGTGTAAGTGAAGTACCAAAAGAGAGGGTAAATTAGTTTTTTATATTTTCTATGCTACTATATTATTTTGTTTACGTGTATATGTGTTGACACATGTTATAACATAGTCTCTTAGATCCTTGAAAATCATTTTCTTTTTACCATGGGGTCACTTTGATCTCTTTTCTCACTCGTGGCTATGATGAAGATAGAAATTTCTACTATAATTCACCCTTCACTAGGTTACATCTAATCCTATAAGATTTTTCTATCATATTTCATTATTTTCTTTTAGAAGTACCATTGATTTTACTGGATGAGAAACTCAAATATATTTTTTTGATATGTGTAGAGATCTTATCCCTCACATACAAGTCTTGACTCTCAACACCACTTACCAAAGTTAATACATAATTTTCTATAGAGATCTTATGAGTAGTTTTTTACTCTTAGCACTTCTTACCTTAGCTTAACCCTATCTCCATTCACCACACATGTTACCTTAGGGCCTGATGTAAAGAGACAATATTCAGTTCAGTTGGTTAACTCATAGATTACCATAGATGAATGAGTAGATGATGCTTTTGATTTTTACTTTCACATGTACGATTATTTTATTGTAGATGATTGAATGATGAATGATGTGGATGAAAATATTTTCATTCAACATTAACCTTGCTATGTCTTCAACTTATTCTCTTTATACTCCTATATATTTTTGTCATTTCAACATCTGAGAATAATCATGAGTTTAAAAATCTTTCTATTACTCCACTAATATACTAGTGACCTTTAACTATTTTACAGTACCAACCCTTCTACTCTTAAATTTGTTATCTATAAAATTTTATATGGAGATTGTAACTAATCAACATATATTTTATCTTTCAAAGATTTACTTAAAGGTGGTCGTTTAGTTTGTCTTTAGTCCACATATTCTATTGATGAGTTATTATTCAGAATCTGCACTTCTGACCTTCAGTTATGCTTCAGCTCAAATTTTTTTATTCTCATGTAGGTTGTCCTTAACAATATGTTTAGAGATTTTCAATTGATCAACATACATCTTTGTCTTTAGAGTTGAGCTTGAATATGATCGTTGAGCTTATCATTTTGTCTATAAACTTTAGTGACATATTTTCATCTAAGGTGCGTGAGATTCACTTTGAATTCTTCTTTACTTTGAAATGCATAGGTTTTTTACAAATGATATTTGAAGCTTCTTTTGGAGATTCTTGATACTTCAATACTTAATTTTCCTTTTGAGAGTGAGTTTAAGTTAGTTGTTTTGCTTCATCATTTTCTCTAAGTAAGATTTTGGTGTGTCACCGTGTAGGTTATGTGGCAAAGACTTCTCTACTTCTTTGATTGCTTTGTGCAAATGGTCTACCTCAACTGTCATGTAGAACCTGAGATTAAATCCTACTTTAGTCACTAATTATGTCATGTAAATTATCATGATATATTAATGATTTAATTTATATTTAATAAATCATTAACAAAATAATTCATAAATAAATATTGCAATATAAGTGTCAAAATCAAAAACATTTACAAACAAGTTCCTTGAATTTGTAAGGGTATGATTATGAGTCCACAAAACGAAGGGGTGGTTCCCTAAGTCCATGGGGAAATTGAAGTTCACCAACAGATGGAGAGTACCTTAGAGAGGAAGAAACTTATAAAATTTATTGATTGAAACTTGAATGACTCTTGGACTACACAAGGTGCCTTTAGATAGGTTAAAGTTTGTTGATTGGGTGTCAAAATTTTAATTTCAAATAAAATTCAAAAATAGAATGAGAAGGAGAATAGGAAGGAGAATAAGAAGATAGAAAATGAAATAGATGTATGAATCAAGAGAACTACAAGTGATCAATAGGAAAATTTGAAAATATGAGCATCGAGAAATTGTATAATGATCAAGGGATAGCCCTTGAGTTTTTTGCATGCTAAGACACCTAAAAAAATTAGAGTTGTTGAGAGAAGGAATAAGAAATTACTAAAAATTTCTAGAACCTATAGATAAGAAACTTAAATAGCTTAAATATTTTTGGGTATCGGTAATAAGTAGCATTTGCTACATCATGATTAGACCCATAGTTAAGAAAACTCCCTCTAAGTTAGTCAATAGATAAAACCAAACACTCATTACTTTAGGCTCTTTGGATACAAGTTCTTTATTCTTATATATGATTTAGAAGAAATAAAAAAATTGACTCTAGAACCAAAGAACAATTTCTAAGATATTGTGAAAATTTTATGATATTTTAAGTGTACAATGAGATAGCATCATTGGTTGAGAAATCAATAAATGTGATTTTTTTTTGGAAAAAAGAGAAAGAAGTCCTGATTAAGGATAAAGAAAAATTTTACAGACTAAATTTCAGAATATTTTGATCAGCAATGATTTTAGGCTCTTGAATTAGAAGACATCTAGAAAGGTGGGTCTTTTAAGAGAATGAAGATATATTGACTTGTTCAACGTATTGGATTTTACGATAGTTTGAGTGTAAACTAGATCTAGATTGAAAAATGAAGAAAGTTCAAGTACAATTATTTCTAAAAATGTTAGCTGAAAATAAATAAATAAAATTTTATGATGAACATTAGACTATTACTATAGCTATGGAAGCACCCTGGGATTTTGGGTTATAAATCAAAAGCACTCTAAGGTGTTTGTGTCCTAAGTCCACTCTCATAGGACACCCTTGTCCCTACATTTCACTTGACCAATCATTGTCCCTGATTAATAGGTTCAACCCGTAGAGAATTTTACCCAAAATTATCTTCTAGATTTACAATGCTAAATGGCCAATAGCTTGATTTCATGATTACCCTTGTAGTTGAATCAATAACTAGTCCATCAACATAAAGATTTACTTCTTATTTCTCTCATAGATATGTTGAAGGTGTTCTTACTTTAGTTAAGTTGAAGATCTTGTAAAGTTATACTTTCAGTTCTTGATTTGTTTATCTTCTTTTCATTTGATTGAGCAATAAAGACTGATCAGAATTCATAAATAAATCTCTATAGAAAATGCTAAAAACTTTCTCGAGATGGTAGAGGAGTCAGAGGTGATAGCCATTGGAGAGGTGTTAAATTTATTCAATTGTTTTTAAAAAAATCCTCCACTATTTCAACATTATGAGTCATTGCTATATTCCATGAATTCCTATTTAGAATTGGTATTATTATTTTATTATTTTTAATTTCTATTTAATAAACTCATCTTAATTATTATAGTTCCAGAATAATAAATAAGGAGTATCCTTTAATAAATATTATGAGCGTTTGCCATTATCAAGATAATATACATTTAATGCTTCAATACTTTGTTCTTGACAATGTCCTCCCAATGTGAGCCCAAGAAACTCAAGGTGGGATTTCCACTCTTCCTTGAACTCTATTTGCATGAAGTTAAAAGAAATTTAGATCTATGAATCATAAGACTCAAATTTCATGTTTCATGGATGACTAAGGTCTTGTGTTTCTATCATTGGTAATTTTTTAGTTCATTCTATTGATCATTTTCCAAAAAAATCTTTATTTTCTTCATATTTTCTTATTTTTGAAGTTAAATATAATAGTAATTTAACTAGTTAAATTGAACAACATCAAAACTCAAATAAGATGCAAGCACTGCCATTTCATGACTGTAGGAACAAAGAGTGAGACGTCAAAATGCATGGGACAACAGGTCACTACAGATAAAAACATAGTCCCATCCTTGTTGGTACACTAAATGGTGGGGAACCCACAAGTGCTCCTTTATCAACTTCCTCCTGTGCAACTTAAGGAGCTCTTACATCATTTCCTTATGGCATCAAGAGCATATATTGCAAGAAAAATATCTTATTGTGCAGGCTTCAGAATCAAAGGAGCAAAGAGGACCTGAAGCATTCAAAAAGTGTATGTCAAAGAATTAATGAATCTTACATGCCATAAGAAACAATTTAAGAAATAATTAGAGAGTTAATATCGGCACTAATGCTGACGCTGGTAGAGCGAAAAGACTTCATACAAAGCTACCCCATTGGATGTTGTACTGTAAATAATAGTCTTTACCGGTATATGCAATTTTATCATTTTCCCTTGCTATCAGCGTCTCGTAATGTGTGGGACTGAGTTTAACTCTCATGTATAGTTATAACAACCTCAAAGTTGGTATATCTGAGTGATATTGAATAGTTAGAGAAAACTAAATGAGTTACATTTGTGTTATTTTGGCTTGCATTATTCCAATATGTAACTTGTTGTTATCACGGCATATTTCTTTGCCTCCATTTACTAGACGTGAGGGCTACCGTGGACTCAGTCCACCCTTGAACGTGGTCGTTAGGATTTATGTTCCTTGGTGTCATCCAAATATGCGGTTAGTTCGGGCTGCATTGGATGTTCGTAAACCGCATCATTGAGACTATTCCCTGTTCCCCGTTTACCTCTTCTTCGGTGTAAAATGAGCGACTGACGGCGAGAAAGGAAATCTTACGTTGACAAGAAATATCGTTGACATACAAACGGGAGAACTTATTCAACGGAAGGCCGATCTCATTTATTATGGCTGCTAAGGCGCCTCGTTCTACTCGTAGCAGCAGCAAATGCCGTCATTATCACAGCAGCCTTTTGAAGCACCAAGCGGTGCTCCGTTTGCGCAGGTTTTAGCGCAGTCCCAATCCTTGCATTTCCCTGGCGTTCCACGACAAAAAGTCCCCGCGGCGCAGCGTTGCTCTGCCCATGCTGCGATCAAATGCCAAGGGTAGGATTTTTATAGTAAGTTTTCTTCTCAAGAAAAACTGGGTTCAAGTCTCCAACAAATCTTTATTCGAAGTTTTCCCAATAACCAAAAATATGAACAAATTCGCGGTAAACGTAACCAAAATAGAAACTCTAATTGTAGCTCATGGAGTGCACCAACATTTTCATGGCAGATGTAGGGAGTAAACGACGAAGGGATGGCTGAAGGCAGATAGGCGATTTACTGAAAATGGTCATCCTGTACCTGGGGATGTAAGAAAGGCCAGAAGTGCAAGGAGGACGACGACCTTCATCAGAGTAGTTAGTCCCTTGGCCGTCATCTTTGTCACCGCAACTATCCTCGCTTCCTAGGCTAGTTATGGCTTGGGTGAGGAGATGGCGGAATCAACGGCCTGTTTATAGCTCTCAAGCGATTGGACTTGCCCGCGGAATAAGCAATTCCCCCGAAATAAATAGACTGGCTTTGGATTTCTTTCCGTTCTCGGACATTGGGATTATGAAATCTGGGGCAATAAATTCTCTGGATTTGGATACACTTGTTCTCAAAATCACGCTAGATTTGACTCCAAAAGGTTATTAAAGGCAGTGATTTATGCGATTCTAGATCCTGATGAGTCAATGCTAATTCCAGAATCGCGTTTTATTCCTATCCACTACTTTTCAGGCGTCGGTGTTTAACCTAAATTTCACAGACAAAAGTTTCAGCCGTCCCCCGGCTTTTCAGTGAATTGGAAGACCATTCTCTTCGCCAACCTTCATTGTATTCTCGATTCAACACCTGATACGAACTCAAATATCCCTGAACGGTAAATTTGTTTTTCCAAAACCCCTCCAGATTATCAGTTGGCTTGTCCCCTGCATTTGTCCATCCTATGGTGATTATTGTTGCTTACCATGCTCTTGAATGATCGAGCTCCGGGGATGTACAAAAATACGAAGAAACACAAATCGTCGGATATATATCCAGAAGTCAGAATCAAACTCTGTCTGGATTTAACATGACCCGAAAGTAGAGAATAAGTTTCATATTAACAGAAAAGAAAATGATCAAGTTGAACAGAGAATTGGATGTTTTAGAAAAAGATTACTGTATCTACACTTATCCCCGAGGGACCATCACAATCTGACTAGTTTACCGAACCTACTACTTAGATATCAATGGTGCTAACCAAGTACTTCGATCGTCAATCCCTTTCAGTACCAAACTTATCAGTTAGTTGCTGCATCCCACTGTTGAACATGCACCTTAGGGCACAGCTTTTCTTGACCATCTGATCTGGTTTCTATCTTGAAGCTACTATTTCCAAATTTCTTTTGTTGCCATTGATAAACAATTTTTACATGGGTTTCAAGTTGAAATTTACTATGCTTTAGTTGTTTATCCGACACCACATTGCCTTAATCTCCAGAATAAAATATTAGTCTACTAGCATTTATTTATGACGTTTTTCCTTCCATAAAGTATGCGACAAAATATAATGCAGTATAATAAAAATCGATTTTATGAAATGTCATTTTCAAACGATATTTTACCATACTCTTATGTTTTCTGGAAAATGGTTGGAATCTCCAATTTACATTTGATATCCCACCCTTGGTTTGTGCCTATGTTAGCCTAAACTATTGGAATACCAATATAATATAGCGTCCAATGATAACATTGAGCTGATTAAGTGAAGCTTCTATTTTTTAAATAAAAATCTGTGACTACATAAATGCTAACTTTAAAAGAAAATATTAAATAGGAATCCCTGTTTTCTATTGATTTGGTCAAATAGTGATTATAGTGATTATAGTGATTATAGTGATTATGGTGATTATGGTGATAGATAGTAATGTACTCATAACACTAGCTGTGGACAAATGTGAAAATAGTTGACCAAAGTCAAAGATTGGCATAGACATCAGATCATAGAATAACTTAGAAATAGTGATACTAAAACTTCAGTTTCACCTAAGAATTGATTAATGTGAAGACCACAGAGGTATTGGAATTAACACCTCACTGTAAAAGAACAAGGGCAGTGGTATAGTTGTCCTTGATGGGTGATGGAGGATAAAAGGTTAGATGTAAACGCCCAGTACCCATAGCAAAACTACAAAGTCAGTGAGAAAAAATGAACCACCGGGGAGATGCATTCTTGAATAAGGTAATGGAACACTTATAACATCAATAGTGATAGTTCTGAACATAAACACTGACTAATGAAAAAACTTTTAATCTCAAAATCATACTCCTATAGTTGTGATATCAAGCGAAAATTGCAAGAATTGTGATGTGGACGTAATATAAGTGATTTAATGGTGACGTCAATTAACTTGAACACCGATTAGGCAGTGGATTTATGAGTGGACAATACGTCATGGAACTTACTAGCATCAATGTGCACCAAACGAAAAAATGGAAGCACTTATTCCTAGTCAATGTAGAGATAAATTTCCCTCCTGAACTAGCATTTTAGGAGAAACTGTTTTATCACTTACTTCAGAATTAAAATTTTTCATCATTGAGTTTTTACTGAGAACGTACAACCAAACGAATCTATGTAAAATGGAAATTGGTAAATATTACACTATTTTAAAATATTGAAGAAACAATATGAGGTGAGCGGCAAGAAACCAGGATACTGAGGGAAAAAAATCATAATTCTTTTTACCAGAAAAAAAATATTACTTAAATGGGTTGCATTACCCTCTCATTTTATTTAAAGTTTTCTCGATAAATGAGAGACAACCTTAATGAAGTACTGTCAGGCAAGATCATCATGATCAGAAATCTGCTCTACAATAGTGTCAATTGAGGATACGTACATTTCATTTTCTTACACTATTTCTGTTAAATTTAATAGTGCCTTTGTGATTTTGATCTAAGTAGAACATTTCGTGTATCATTTCTATTAGCCTCAATTACACTTCAAAGCTATGAGCACTATTGAAAGACGTGATCCTTATATTTGTGCTAAATATGAAATGAATGTAAAATATGGAGTTTTGGGAGAGAGGTTGCCCATGAAGTCTAGTTTATCATGGGGAAAGCCTTGATCTCCTTTCCTTCCTGTCGTTCCACTTCTTCCCTTTGTCTCATCACCGATGTTCATGCCCTTCTACTAGTGTTCATATCCATGGCTCAATCACTGCGCTGCAGCACCATTAACGTGTTCCATCCACTCCCATGCTTGAAACTGCCTCTCCATTGCTGCCTGATACCCCGAAAAGCTTACACCGTTGCACCTGAATATGCAGCCACTTGCATCAATCCACAGTAGCCTGAATACTTGCCCACATTCCTATGAAAATATGTCTTCCAAAGATCCAGGAATGCTGCAAAACCATCTCCCTCCCGCATGGAATATATTGTTCTTCACTCTTAAACTGAATTACCTTATTTTGGCATTGAGATAGACCGTATTTAGATTATTTATCTTTGCATTTTGATAATAGAATCCCTTTTATACTCCTAAATGCTTCACAAACAAACAGACAGCTCTTAGCACACTAGTCTTGTTGTAGCTTCTCATCAACCCCATATGCCTGATTATTTTATAAGCGGAATGAGCATATCAAGGACAACTAAATTTTTTAATTTATTTAAAATAAAATAGTTGATTTCTCATTATTCTAATTGCTGTCCAATTTTGTATCTCATGCCACTTCAGATTTGACCGTCAAAGAGCTAAATCTTGTTTTCCCCCTTGCTTAACTTTTTAGTACACTCATTTCAATAGCCACTACTAGTTTACGCGTTTTTTTGCGTCAGTTCCCAGAAGTAATTTTTTATTCCAAGCAAAATTTCTTGTGAACGAGAGGAAGAGGCCTCGCAAATTCGATCTTTTTCTCTTTTCGTCACCACCCTTCTTCCTCACTAGTACACGGAAACACTCAACGAAAGGTGTCCTTTATTCAAAGGGCAAAGCAAAGCATGCCTTTATTTGGATATCGGGGGCGGCAGGTTCTACTTGTGGCAGCAGCAGTTTCCTTCGAAGTCACAGCACGCCTTGTTGGCTCCCTCGGGTATATATCGACACCTTTCAGCACAGCCACCGTCGCTGCAGCTCCCAGCATCTCCGAAGCAAAACGTACTCCGAGAGCACTTCGGCTGGGCAAGGCCTGTATTCACGCGCCACAGATTTAATCTCCAGTCAAAACGCAAGGACTAGAGGTCTTTTGTTTTGAGGAGAGAAGGGACGAATGAAGACCCCGACGAGACTGTTACGTCCGTCCCTGACTAGATTGAAACAGATACTGAAAAATTGGATCACAACGGGTACGCGATACCCTTGGTGGTATCCTCCTGCCTGCATCATATAAGATGACGATACACACCTGGGGACGAAAACAACGCCAGAAGTGTGGCCAAGAGTAAGAACTTTAGGACTCCCTTTGCCGCCATCTTTTCCACGGCAAGTCTCCTACCAAAATTGGAATCTTACGACTTGCTTTACGAGTTGGTGGAATAGACCTATATTTATAGCAAAAAATATAGCCAAAGTCAGGATTTTGGAATTGTCATCTAGCTGAATGAATCTAGAGCTATAAACTCGTTGGATTTGGTTTTCTGTAAGCTTTTACCACTTGGCAGACCGAATCCCAGGCAATAAATTCCCTAGATTTGGATATGCAGGCCTTAAATAACCTTGTTTACGGATTTTTATTTGTTGTGTGAACTAGAGCGCTTGGAGGGCTGTTAAATTTGTGCCTACTATACGAACTAATCGTAATATCTCTAGGCCTTTGGAATCACTTTTTCAGGCAAAAACCATCTGAACTCACTAGTCCGGAGATTCCTTGCCCGTCTCAAATGAGACGGCCCTTAGATCTCCGTAAACCTGGTTGTAGTGACCAAAATTTGCTCCATCTTCCTCCTAATCGTCATAACTCGACTGTTAATGTGTGTTGCAGAAGCGGCAGTCCATCTAGCTACCTGGAAGAAAATAAGGAAGCCTACTTGTATAGTTACCTAAATTAGTGAAGCTTCGTGAAGTGCAGCTTAATACTCTCTGCCACTTTAACTGGATGTCAGCTGCTTAAGCTGACGTCAGTGCCAGTCTACGAACTCTTCATTATTGCGCAGTGGCATGAAAACAACTGTTCCAATCCACTGGGAATGTGCTCCTATCCACCTGAAAACGCATCTCCTTGTGTGTTCTTTTATGGAGTCCCATCAGATATTCTTTCTACGTACTTTAATCATCTCCTTGCATATCTGTTGTGCTTTAAAGCAGTTTTAAAATCAAATTGTTTACATAGAATACGTTTTGAAAAGGTCATTTTATTTTAAACAAAAATGTTAACCAAATATAGAAGCTTTGCATTTGAAATGACATTATAAATTCAATAATATTTTTACCCCATGAAGAAAAATATTCATGTGAAAATTAAACTATGACTCTTATTACAGTAGGCATGTGTCAATTGTTAGAGTGAGGAGTTGACACTTGAAGTCATAAATAATTGAAACCTATGTATGGACATGAAGACATTATCACAATTAGTTTTGAGACCCTCAGATATTTTGATGTTGACAAAGGATAATTTGGTAATCTGTATATGATAATTTTGTATTATATTAAAAGGATGAATTTCCATAGACTACATCAAGTAATTCAATTAGGTGAAATTTTACAAGAGAAAAATTATAAATATTTGGAGCCCATATGATTAAAATAATGTTTGACTACAAGTGGTTCCTAAGTATAGACATCTGACAACTAATTGTAAGTTAATTCTAGAGCAATATAATTAATAAGTCTTCATTATCATGAGTTAATAATTAGTAAATAATATAGTTTTAGTCTTATCTCATGATAAATATACTTATATTTATGTTAAAATATGAAAAGTGGTTTTTAATTGATTAACATGATTTTTTGGCTAATTATTTAATTTTATATGAATTTATATAATTTTTATAGTCTTATTTTTGAGATAAATAAAGAAAAAGAAATAAAAACAAAAATATAGCAAAATGTGAGCACAAGCTCACAAGTGGGTCGGAAGCATAGTCGAGGGGAGCCACGAGTAGAAGCTTAAGCGGCTTGGACTGATGGGGACACATGTGCACCACTCCCCTTCTACATCACTAGTGGTTAATTGGTTGTGGGGCAAGGAGTGGTCGTACATGTGAGAAAAAGGGACACATTACTTATATATGTGATATTATTATATATTCACCCAAAACTTTGGCGCACAAGCAATGTGTGACTAAACCCACATTATACCTTCCCTCGAAAGGCTTCAAAAATTTTAATACCTAAATTACTCTTTAGTTATAATAAAGATATACCATGATAATGTCACTTGATAAGGGCATTAGAATACTTATTTCAATTTATCTCATGTAGGCGGGCAATCAGCGTAAGTTTAAATCCTTCTAGAGCCAAAACTTGTATTTTTATCTGATTATTGTGAATTTCCTACAAATCGCCGATGAAAGATTAAGCCACCAAAATTGTTGAATCATCAATGAAAATCTCGTCAATGTGATTCACATAGTATTATTATTAAAATTGTTGAATGATTCGTGATAAAAGGATTGTAAATCAATTGAGTAAATCATCTTTAATTGATCGATGAATAAATCATCGTTAGGAAGAGAACAATTCACTAGGAGTTGAGTCGCCACCTCTTGAGAGTATATTAGATGCGATGAAGAGCTTTCTCTTATTGTGCAGACCTAAAGATGAAACTCCTTGACATGCGCTTCACCTCTATCCAACTCTTCTCCATCAGGTGACAACCGCTAGAGAACCGCAATGTCACTATTTTTTCACTTCACTAGAGACAATTTGATGACCTATTTTTTTTATCTCTAGACTTTGTAAGAAGATTTAGAAATTACCCATATCATCCTTATCTAATGAAAGCCTTCAAGGCTATAGACACTATACGACGATCCTCTTGAATACTCAAGAACTCTATTTTCTTACTTTCAACTTAATTTCTGCTTCATTTAGTAATTATTTATGTGATTTAAATTTATCAAGCTATACTTCATTCAATTATGATTCTTCTAGTTTTTACAAATCTTAATTTGATCAATTAAATCATCTATAATCACTTATGTAAGAATTCTGTTTCCGCTCGATTCGTATTCGTCGAGCACTGACGTCATCTTGACGTCCACACCCTTATTTCTCCTTTTCGTAAATTTTAAATATATTTTATTTTTATTTCTTAGTATAAAATTTATAAACAAATTGTATTCTTTGAGAAAAATTCTGAAAAATTACCTGATATTATATTATATCTTTGTGACCAACTTAAAAAATTATCATTATTTTTAAAAAAATTATTGAATTATAATTGATATATTTGTTCATAAATACTTGTAAATATCTAAAAATTAGTATTTTCTAGTTTTATAAATTTTAAATTTATGTGATTTACTATACAATGACTAAGTCACATGAGTAATGTAGTAACATACCAAAAATTCAAAGAGTTTATATTGTTACTTTTTAAAACATTAATTTATTTATTATTTAAAATTCAGGTTATAACATAGCCCAATAGGACTGTTAACTAGCATTTTTATGATTGTTAAAGACTCAATATGTAGAGTACAAAAGGGACCTTCTCCCCATATTAGGGTTTCAGCAATAGAGGTAGAAATTAGAGAGAAAGCTGCTCACTTCATTACTCTTCATCCAAGGAGACTAAGCTTCTCACCTTCATCTTTGAGCACACAAATAGCAAGATAAAAACTCATATTTAGACCCTCAATGACTCCAACCTACATTTGAGGCTTTCTCCATTAAGAACAAAGCATTCAACCAAAGGAAACTATGAGCTGAATTGATAAGAAAAAGTATAAATTTTGTTCTTGATTTGCTACCTCAATCTTTACCATAGAAGCTCACTAAAGCAGAAATATTTTGGTCACTAAATCACTATTAATTATTGTAGAATACTTATTTAGCCTTTGAGATTCTAGTGGTCGAAAATAACTTACTGAAAAATCAATTCATCGCACTCCTCTTGGTACCATTTGCTACCATAGTATGCCAACCAAAGTAAATCAATTGTGTGATGATCCACATGTCAACCTAATTTTTCAAATTAGTTAAGTCAATTGGTGTGCCAATTAATTGATCTAATTAATGTATTGACACACTATCTCAAACAAAATGAGTCTCTATGACGTGGGACAAAGGGCCATAATAGATCTCTTTAGAAAGAGCTACACATTAATCTTTAAAGTTGATTAAAATTAGGACTTCAATGGCTTAATATTTATATGATCCTACAATTTTAAGAGAATTAAGATCATTAATTACCTATTAGGTTATCTAATTCAAAGAATCAAACAAGGCTTCTCAACTAGGTTTAGGACCATCAATCTTTCACACAAAGGTGACTATCTTATGAATCTCACAAATTCTAAGAGTAAATATTTAAAAAATAATGACCAACTTCACAAGTAATTTAAAAATCAACACACTTTTACAATATAGATTTTTGATATCTTGAAGATCTTTTGGTATGAGTTCCACAAGCTTTCTCAATGATTTTCCAAGGTGTAGACTAAGTGGTTTGCACCAAGGAGTGGACTGGTGTGGTTCGCACCATGTAGTTATTTTCAAACCACAATCACGTTTTTTTCCAAACCACAATCTCATCACTCTACCAACTAAGAAAATTCTTTGTTGACCACAATATTTTTAATTAGCAGAAATAATTTAAATTCCTCAAAATTAATAAAACCTTATATGTAATCAATTCACTCCTGCTCTTGGTACATAATCTATCCTACAAGGGAAGCAAGACATGCTTGTTTTAGTATCATTAATTTCATTATTCAAGCATTCATGATGTTGAATTAAGTCTTGAGCTAAGCCCTAAACTTTTTAACTATTTCATCAAAAACTTCTTACCTTTCTTATAAGATGTAATTTGACAAGGATTTTTCTAGTGATACTTCATCTTTGAACCATAAGACAAGGAGTCAACTTCGTTAGTACTATCAACATTAGACAAGGAAGTATCCTTATTGTTCTAAGTTTTAATCACCCATAGGTTCTTTAACTCACACCTAAATTTTGTATATTAGCTCTAACCTTTTGTTGTCTCACTTGGGATGTGTCCCATATGTAATCATTCATGCTCTTTCTATTGTTTCACTACTTTAAATGTAGTGAAGTTTACTCTCATCAAGAACATAAAATAAAACATTTATCACCTTTGGATTTAATGATAGTAACCTTTTGAGATCCTCATTAAAATTTCTTGCTTGTCCTTTGGATCACAATGCACATTAAACATGACTTTCTATATTCTCATTGTGTTCTACTTTATATTGTCATAGACATTTTCAAATTGAATGTATTTTTTACCATTGAATAAAGATTTAGGTGTAGAATGTCTTAAAAACTTAGTTCATAAAATATTACCCATGAGATTTTGAAATGACTTAGTCATTGTATAATAAATCACATAAATTTAAAATTTATAAACTTAAAAAAATATTAATTTTTAAATATTTAGAAGTATTTTTGAACAAATATGTCAATTATAATTTAATAAAAGTTTAAAAAATAATAAAAAATTTCCAAGTCGATCATAGGGATGTAATATAATGACAAATATTATTCAGAATTTTTCATAAAGAATATGAATTTTTCTAAATTTAAGACTAAAAATAAAAATAAAATATATTTATAATTCACAGAAAAGGAAAATAAAGGTGTAGACATTAGGATGATGTCAGCACCTGATGAATGTGAATCAAGCAAAAATATAGTTTTGCCCAACAATTCTTATGTAAGTGATTACAAACGATTTAATTGGTCAAGTTAAGCTTTGTAAAAGTTAGAAAAATCGTAATTGAACAAAGCATAATTTAGAAAGTTGACATCCCACAAATTATTATTAAATAAAGTAAAAATTAAGTAAAAAGCAGAAAAAATTAAATTTCAGCGTCGCGATAATGATGCACCAATAATGTGTTAGAATCTTGAGCATTCGAGAAAATTGTCATGCAGTGACCACGGCTTTGAAAGTTTTTATTGAACAAGAACGACTTGGACAATCTCTAGATTTTCCTATAGAGTCTAAAGATTAATTAAATGGGTCATCGAATCGTGTCTTGCGATTGTCACTTAGTGGAGCGGAAAAATAATGACTTTGCAACTCTCTAATCGTTATCACCCAATAGAAATGAGCTAGATGGAGGTGGGACGCATGTTAGGTTCATGCAACAAGATGAGGATCTTCATCGCATTTGGTATGCTCTCAAAGGTGACAACTCGTCTCCTAGTGAATCATCTTCTTTCTAATTATAGTTTGTTCGTCGATCAATCAGAGATAATTTACTTGATGGATTTGTGATCATTTTATTGCAAATCATTTAACAGTTTTAATAACAATACTTTGAGAATCGTATTAATTAGATTTTCATCAATAATTGAATGATTTTGCCAGCTTAATCATTCACTGACAATCTACATAAAAGTTACGATTTAATCAGATAAAAATATGAGTTTTGGTTTTAGTAGGATTCAAACTCACATCAGTCGCCCATCTATATGAGAGAGGAAAATAAGTATTTAAATTACCCTATATGGTAACATCATCATAATGTATTGTTGTTATAAATAAGGGATAGTTTAGATATTTAAATCATCAAAATCATTTTGGGGAAGGTGTGACCAGGGTTTAGTCACACATGAGTTATATATCAAATTTGGGATGAATATATAGTAATACAAGATTTGAGAATCAATGAGTCTCTTTCTTGCATGTGTACAATCACTTCTTGCCCCATGCCTTGACTAGCCATCAGTGACTTGGAAGGGGAGTGACGCACATGTACCTCTATTGGTCTATAGCTGCTCGAGCCCCTACTCATAGCTTTGCCTTGACTATGCTTCTGACCCACTTTTGGGCTTGGCCGACAAGTCTTCCCCTTTTTCTATATTTTTATTTTAATTTATTTTTTTTATTTATCTTAAAAATAAGATTATAAAAATTATATAATTTTTTATAAAATCATATAATTAGCTAAAAAATCAAATTAATCAACTGAAAACTACTTTTTATAATTTAAGACTAAAATTTTATTATTTATTAATTATTAACTCATGATAATAAAGACTTATCAGATCTCCTCGTCAAGTATTGATAATTCTTTTAAAGAGATAATAGCTTTTATACAACTTGTTTGTTTTGAAGAGATTATACAAGAAACCATAAAAAGAGGTCATTAGTATTTTTATGTTAATATTTTAGTTACTAATTCTCACAGTGATATAATTGTCAAATGTTTATATTGAATATCCACTTTGTCTACTCTTTTTGAGGACAATGTCCTTGGTTCGCACTTAATTCTAAATTAAATACTTTATGTAGCCTATTCATTGAACACAATGACCTCAACAAGCCTCCATTAAATACATAGGCTTCAAAAAACATATACACTAGACACAAAGGTCTCAACAAGCCTAAACTCAACTTATCAATTATGAACAAGTAAATGTGCTTACGAATTGGCTCATAGCCTCCTTTGCTTGAAGATGTCAAGATTGTATGAAGGAGATTAGATGGCCTGAGCAGCAGATAAATTCTCTTCCCTTTTGGCTCTCAAGTATGTTGAGTTTGCATATGAGCTACAATGAGGATCTAACTAGGCATTGGGACTCTCACTCTCATTTCTCTCTCTATTTATACATGTTAAATATGGCTGAAGGTCTCTATATTCTGTATTTTTTACAACTTTTTTTCAATAGCACAAGCATGTCCATCATTCACTATTATGTTAGATTCATATGTTGCATCATGTTCACTTTCAAACCTTTTTTCAATAGCACAAGCATGTCTATCTTATGATAAAAACATGCATCCAAAAAATTATGTCATCACATAGTTGTGGGTGTAGACCATTTTTCCTTTAAGTGAATTTTTCATGGTTTGATATTTGATTTAGTCCGTTATGATTTACACATGGATATTACAATTTATCATAAAATATTATCATATTATCCTCTATCATTATCAAAACACTTAAGGCTCTTGAAGTCAACATACATGAGCTCAAAGACTAAATGTGATCACTATATTTAGTTACTCATCAAAGTTGAATCCAAAAAATAATTAAAAATTCAACTCTGAATGATTGAGCTAGCAGCAAGAGTATATAGTAAGCAGAATAATTTTGAATGGCCAGATAGTAGAGCCCTACAAACAAACTCCCCATGTCTTCTCTCTGTCGCCCTCCCCCCACCCACCCTCTCTCTCTCTCTCTCTCTCTCTCTCTCTCTCTCTCCACCCAGCTAACCAGTAGTGTTTAGCCTTGTCTATTCAATCCCCCCCTATAGCTTGCTTTCATGATGTCCTCTACAGGGACTCATTTGAGACCCCTAAATCAAAGAGGGTTTACTCTTCATTTGAAATTCTTATTTGGATGTCTAAGAACCAGATAACTCAAGGAAATATTTTTGCTAAACATAGTTGGTTAAGTGGAAATATAAAACAATTCAAAACTCTCAGCTGACTGACATATCAGTGAGACTAATAAGGTAAAGCCATGGCAACACACCTCCATCGCAAGGTGAGAAAGCATACTGGAAGAGGGAAGGCGTGGTGCCTTCAATATCAATACAGATATATGGGCACCATCATACTAACCTTTGAACGAAGATGCCACAGACCATGACCTGGTTAAACGAAAGAGAAATCTTTTGGATTTGTTTTGGGCAGGAGAAATGCAGGAGAAGCCATCTAAACATTCTCCACGTCACTGAAGAAACGCATTTGAGACTCTTGCCTCTGTTCCTTCCGTTCACAGGGGATGAGATAGGATACAAGGGAATATCTGACTCCTGCTTTTTTTCTTCAATTGAATTGACATGCAAGTTCACCGCACCTTTGCTTTCACACAGAGTTCCATAAGAACTGTTAGTTGAGCATCAAGCATGCAGAAATGCAAGGCACCTAATAGACAACATAGAGAAGAATATTCAGTCAAAAGAACTTTCCACAAGATGACAGGTGAATGAGTCCTCACTATGTGGTTCAAATCAAACAAAAGGCAAAACTGCGTCACAAATAATTGGCATATATATAGGCCACAGCTTCATTTTTAATGATTAGACGACCCTAACTTGTTGTGTTTCTCATAATCACACTTTGCAGATGGTGAGTTGATGAGCTTTTCGGTACCAATTGGGCTGTTCAGCGTTAGTCACATTGGCTGTTGAGATCAAAGCACCATAGATTATGTTCTCATGCAGTTGTAGGTGAACCCTAATATGTATTCAGCCTACTTGTTTCATGTTGTAATCATCTTTGTGTTCGGAAATGAGTCTTCACGAATGAGAACATTAGTTGATCACAGTGACATAATGTTGATGATCATTTTAGAAAACATGGTTCCCAACGAAGTAATTGTTTTGAGAATGCAAAAATATAAAAGAAAGTTCTTAATAGTTGTAAAAATGTGTCCAGGAAAGAGCTATGATAAGTAAATTAGGCAGGAGAGAAGACAAATCATCTAATAGTTGCAGGTCGGAGTTTAACATAACCAGGCTAAAAAATAGCTATTTACACAACGATGACATGATGAACCAACAATTTTTTGTCACGAAAAGAGACATTCACAACCAAAGAAAAAATGATAGCATCCAACTCCATGAACACTTTGATGAACATATTTATGCTGACAGTTGCTTCAAGGTTTTTTTGGCTCATCATCTTCGATGTCCCAACCAAGATCATCATCTTCATCTTCGGCCGTAGTCAACCTCTTGCGCAGATCAATCCGATTGGGACTCCCAGCAGAAACCCTGGGCTTCTTTTCATCATTGTCACCAAGATCTTCAATCTCATCCCACCCAAGATCATCTTCTTCAGGAATAGATGGCTGAGTTGACACGATTGATACATCACTGTCCTTGCATGATTCAGCAGATTCTGCTATCCCTTCAGGAAGAATCTTATCATCAATCTTAATGGGAGCTTCTCTACCTTCAAACCCTGTAGCACTCATTTCTGAAGATTCTTTCTCCCCGGATGAAGTTGTTGCATCTTTAACCAGATTATCGGTTTCAGAATTCTCGCTTGAGTTCTCTACACATGCGCTATCAGGGTTTTCAGCAGTGTCTCTTTCCGGCATGGCAGAAATATCACGCTTATGTGCGCCTACTTGATCACCTCCTTGACTTTCTACACTTTGCTGCCCATCTTTCTGTTCTTCCTTTTCACTTTTCCGAACGTCATCATCCTCAACCTCCCAGCTAAGATCCTCCTCTTCTTCCCCTGATATCGCCCTTTTAACGAGATTAGCTCTAACGTCCTCCGCCTGCTTCAGCTTGTGGACTTTGTAGAAATAGCGACTCCAGAAAGTATCGTAGTCGATAACGTCCGGAACCAATCTCGCGAGATTTCCCTGCAGGGCTCTGCTTTCTTCAAGAAGGTTCTTAATCTCCTTTTCTCTCTCTGGCAGGCTAAACCCAGCCAACCACGAACGGAAATCTTCGGCGTCCTCTGGCTCCTCGGTGACGGTGGACAGATCGGCCTGGATCCCTTGGAGCTTTACCGCCAATCTACTCAGCCGATTCGACGCGCCTCGTTCGACGCTCGGTTGTGAGGCATCGACAGCGGAGCTTAGATCTGCCGAGGTATCCACGTCGAGAGACAGCAGGGCGTCCTTTCCCTGCGCGATGATCTCGGCGGTGCCCCGCCAGACGGAGCCGCTGAGCCCGTCAAGCGCCTGCCCGACCGTCCCGAGGGATTCCTGTGCAACAGAAGCGCTGGCCTCAAGGGAGGAAGGAAGCTCCCGGATCACCTCACGGATTACCTCCGTCTCCTTGCGAAGCCCCGACCCGAACTCCTCCAGGTCCCGGCGGTAGGTCTCGATCAGCGGCTCCGACTTCGACACCAGCGTCTGTATGATCCCGGAGAAGGCGCCCCAGGAACGGCCGCCGCCCTCATCCGCCCCGGAGGAGCCGCGCTCCACGCCGGTGCCTTCACGGCTGCCATCCACTCCCTCCGCCGCCCCCTCCTCGTCCCCGGCGCCGGAAGGTGGCTCCGGCTGGCCGGAGAAGACAGATTTGAAGAAATCCATGGAAGAGGAGGATCGCGGCTTCTCTTCACACCACCACCAAATGAGGCCGAGATGTTCAGTGTGTCCAACGGAGACGATGATGAAGATGATGATGATGATGATGATGATGATGATGACCATGGGGGTGGACCAAGGGACCACGGGATCCCGACGACTCCTGAGAGGTCTCTACCCGATGGACGGCTGTTTAATTAACTCACGCAGCATCTCTCTCTCTCTCTCTCTCTCCGTTCGGGGTCTGGCCCGCCCGCGACTCACGGCCGAGTCGAGTCGGTTCTGCCTTTTCTTCACCGCGGGGTCTCTCCATTTCCTCAGACCCATGAGAAGGAAGTCCCTATTGGCATGTAAAGTTGACACATTGTGTTGATTTGGGCGGAACTTCCTGTTGAGATAATGATTTTGATAGATCTTCCAATCACGACGCTTACTTGGTCAAAATATGATAAAAATTATGTATATTTATTTGAACATGTTAATCACTAAATGGAAATGTTAATCTAATTAAATGTTATTTTTCAGTCCTCAAATTAAAAAAAAAATCAGATCTCTAGAGAAAATATCAACATAAAACTATGTTTAAATAAATCAAGAGAAAAAGTCTTAATCTTTTTTAAGTGGATAGAAGAAAATATTTGTTTCTGACAATTATTACTCAAAAGAAATACACTGATGAAATGGTGACAAGTATATGGCATCCATGACAAGTGTCATTCAAATCTAACTAGATGAAAGATACATAGCGAACAACATACAAGGGCACTTGGAAATCATCTAACCTTAGATCATTGCAAAAAATACACAAAATCGAGATGACAGATGGCACCATCTATCAACATATATGACACATGGTAGAAAAAGTCAAAAGTAAAAGTGACATGTGACATAGTCAAGTCGCTGAAATTAACATATGACAAAACGTTAATGAATACTTATGCCACATGGCAAGATCACAGATAACACACCAAATCTAGTCCAAAGAAGAATCTGAAAAGGACCAGCAATCTCAAATATTGATAGCTGGTCTTACATGCCAAAACATCACATTTGACAAGCCTATTAACATGTGGCAGATGTAGTTGACAAGGATAACATATCTTGACACATTACAAGATCAACAATATGTCCAAAATTGTGACAGGCATGTTTGGACAATTGACCCAGATGGTGTGCAATCTATTAGTGGGTTGACTCGTGCAACCTAAAGATCTTTGACCAATTTATCTTACTCATTTGAATGCCAACAATCAAGTTTTGGGCTCAATAAAAATCCTTTTAACAAACTTGTTACTACTTTAAAATTAAAAAACTCCCTTGTCCCATCATCTTAAATTCTAAGAAAATTTCTAAGACACCTTAAATATCATTGAATTATTCATATATTGTTTTAAGTTTAAAGTTTTCCTTCTATATGTCAAGATACTTAAGGGATTACATGTAACATGGGTGGAAAAGCAAGCTAGTGCCTTATTGTTTAATGGTGGGAGATAGATCTTCAAAACTATTTATGGTAAGGCTTTGCTTATTCTATGAATTTTAGTTGTATTCTCAACGATAGAATAGTAGAAGCCAGAGGTTGAAACCCTTCAAAAGCACATGTAGACCAAGGGAATGTCAAACCACAATAAATCTCGATATCTTTGGTCACTTAGTGGTGTGTTGACCTACTAGAACACTATCAACCCATAGTATTTGCATTGACCCAAATAAATTTATGTCAACATATTCTATACGAAATTCGTAAGATTTGTTCGAAGATAACAACAAAAAACTTCAGAAAACTGATTGCACTCCCCAACTTGGTAAGCCTACTAGCTTATAGGAACCAACACTTTTATGGTTCAAAAGTGGTGGAGTTTGGGCTGATTTGGATTTCAGCCTCTATTTGTTTCAAGTGGAGGCTACATGGTCATGTTGAAATGGGTTTCTCTTATTGTCTTCCAAGGTCCCACATGATTAATCATTGACTAATCAAATCTTGCATATCTCAATTCCAACCATCAAATTCTTTCTCTATAAATACCCCATTGTTTGAGCTTTCAAATAATACATCAATGATCAATCAAGTTCATCTCCACACTTAGAAATTTCTTTTGAAAATTTCATGTAATATAACTTCAATGAGGCTTCTTCAAGCGATCAATTGCTGACTACATCAGGGAGGCTTATCTTCCATATGCCCCATGCCTCCTCAAGCATCGAAAAAAAAAAATTTGAATTGAGAAGATGATCAGCATAGCTGTAAGATGAGTACAATATTATGTATAACTGTGATGATGAATGGGAGTGTTGGTAAAACAAAAGGATAAGATATTGCCTTAGTATCTAATGTTGAGTGATAGACTTGTGAAATCCATTAAGTAAAGAGATTTATTGATATTATGAATTTTATTTTCTTTCCTCAAGAGAAAAGGGGAAAATAAGGGGAAGTAACCCTTGATCCATCAAGTGATTTCTGTTCAAAAAGAAAAATCGATCCTAAGTATTTATGTTCATACACTAATGTATGAATAAAGATTTAAATAATTTGACCTTGTCCATTGGTTCATGCATTATGTTTTTAAGCATTATGTAGAGAAAAAAGTCATCATCAAAGATAAGAGAGAAAGTGTGCTGACTTAATATGTTGACCAGCTAAAATGGAAGAAATAATGTCTCTACAATAACCTCAAACAACATCTTTGGAGAGATAAAACAGTTTCTCTATGATATCTAACATACGAGACTCTTACCAAATTTGATATGTGCTAGAAGATATATTGCATGAGTGGGTAACTTGATATGTCAAAAGTTTTAGATTATTTATGGCATCACAAGGTTCTAAAGGGGGTTAATTAGACAACACTAATAGCTATTTGTTCTTTTTCAGAAGGCTATGGATGTTTTAAGACACAATCATAATGGTTCAAACTGTCTTGCCTATGGTACTCTTTAAAGACTATGCCCCTTAGGTTCCACTAAGACTTGGTAACATGAGAGATAGAACAAAAAAGGGAAAGTGGCACCAAATTTCATGTGATTTGAAAAATCCTTCTGTATCTTTGATTGCACAAACATGTCCTTTTTGGAGAGAGAATCATTGCACGTGTTATTCCCCCTCTTATATCATGGTGTTAGATTGTCATACACATGATCATTCTCCACATCCTTCCAACATCCTCCACATACTTTTCTAGGTCATAATTCTAGGAGAATAAACTGGACTAGCTCATCACTAAACCCTTCAATATTTATGGTTGGCTCAAAGAGGGCTAAACAAAGATAGTTACAACTTCACTCCATTGAAGAATTTTCATTTGAAAACAAGTACTAGAATGTGAACAAGTTACTATTCATTTCCCATTAAGCTCCTAGCTTCATGGCCCATTGATTCATCTAATTTCTAATTTTGGAAGTATTTGTATAGTGGAAACTTTTAAGATTCTAGCAATGCTGGACCTTCTTTTTTCCTTGGTGCTCAAAAATCAAGAATTTGTCCTTGAACTCTTTGGAGGAACAAGCTGTACATGGAAATTATATTTTCTCATTTTTTTCAATTGTAATGTGTGTGAATATATTGGGCCATTCAACCTTCATTGTGATAGTTGGATAATGGTTCATTATCAGCCACATCCATGCTTGAAATTTTAAATCCATAAAAACTTATTAATCTTGTAAAGATCATAATAAAAATAAAAGTTATGAATATTGGTGTGTCACTTGTTGCACCATGTTCCTCATTCAATTGTCTTTCAAAAAATTATAAGATTATTTTATTTATTTAGAGTATGCTATAAATAATTTTGTCATTGAAAAAAATTATTTTAGTTTTGAGATTATCATCAATAATCAATGAGCTATATCATCTCAATATATGATTATGCTACTCTAAGTTTTACCAAATGATCCTTCCATACATTTTATCCTCAAGAAAATAACTTAGGTTCCTGAAGCCAACAACATTTCCTTTGTGGCAAACCATCTATGTGATCAAGAATCAAGTAGAGAAAAAAATTCAATTCTATGTAAGCTGATCTTCAAATAGATTGGCATCTCTAAGGATTTCATTTGCCAAAAAATAATAGTTTCATATTTGATTTTGGTAAATCTGTAAGTAGTTTCATATTTGTTTTCAGAAATAAGACAAGATATATTGGTTTTCATGGCATTTCAATATCTGAATATTCCAAGAAATTTATATTCAACAAAAGATGGAAAGAAAACATTTGGAATTCATGGAATTATCCATTCATAGACTTTAACCTGAATTTTAAATGTTTCATAATTTTTTGTGGGCTAAAAGTACGTTGAGGAGTTTCCAAAAGAGTTTTCAGTCCAATTAATATTTTACTCGTGCGAAAGGGGGCTGTCTGCGTGTGTGAGTGAGTGAGTGAGTGAGTGGGTGAGTGTGAGAGAGAAGAGAGAGAGAGAGAGACAGAGAGAAAGAGAGTGTGAGAAAGGGAAAGAGAGAGAGACAGAGAGAAAGAGAGTGTGAGAAAGGGAAAGAGAGAAAGACAGAGAGAAAGAGAGAGAGAGAGGGAGAATGAGAGAGAGAGTGAGAGAGGGAGAGAGAGAGAGGATGAGCTGAACAAAAATTTTACCCTTGGAAGGAAAACACCCACACATTGTTCAAACTCCAGTGCACGAGCCAGGTCCTCTCCCAGGAGATCGATCCGCTCCGATCCGATCCACCACAGCTCAGCGCTCCCCGCTCTCAGAGAAGCCGTTTCCAGGGCGGCGGCGGAGGGAGAGGGCGACCCGGTCAGACGGCGGCCTCCAGGGGCGGCGGGGGGAGGGAGGCGAGGCGGCGCCGCTGAATGCGAGGGGGGACATGCTTGTGGTACTTCTTAGGCCCCACCGTCCAAGGCAAGAACACGCCGGTGCCTCCCCGGGCGAACCTCCTCGCCGGTGGGCCTAGCACCACCGGCCTCGGCGGCGCAAAGAGCACCACCGGCGCCTGCAGCGCCGGCACTCCCCCCCACCGGGCAACCCCCCCGATCATCAGGCCCCCTCCGCCCGCCGCCGCCGTCTCCTTCTTCTGCTCCGGCTGCCACAGGGTCATCGCTTTCCCCATCGGAGAGGAAGAGGGAGAGGGAGAGGGGCTGACCGTTGCCGCCGGCGCCGCCGTCGTGTCAGAGGGCCGAACCCTGACGAAGGTGACGCTGATCCTCGTGTGCGACGAGGGACAGATCACGTGCCTCGCCAAGTCTGCGCTGTTCCCCCGCATCACCAGTAGCGACCTGCCGCCATGAATAAATCCTTGCTCATTCACAGTAAGAACAAGAGAGAGGGAGAGAGAGAGAGATGGCGTCCTCCTGGATGTATGTTTAACTTTGGCATACCCGTCCTTGAGCGTGAGGGAGAGGGAGCCCCTGTAGTTCCCCTGGTGGTCGCTGACCAGGAACCTCCCGAAGGCCATGGTCGTCTCGGAGAGGAGGAGAGTGGAGACGGGGTTGTCCAGGTGGGGAGGCTTGAAGTAGGGCTGCGAGTGCTCATCCTGCACCACCATCACACCCACCACCATCAACAATGACAATTAACGGAGATCCGGCAGATTCTCGCTCCGGAAGAGGAATCCACAGAAAGAGGGAGGAACCTCGTCGAAGAAGTTAATGATGCAGCTGTTCGGCCTCCTCGTCTCCGGGATCAGCCGCCACTGGATGAGGTGGTCGACGACCGACTGTAAGGCCTTCGGAATCGGCTCGATGTGGCCTGGAAACGGCGGAGAGAATATTTATTGAAAAATCACCCATCCAGAGAACTTCTATCGAGCCCATCAATGTCGTTGACCGAGAAATCTCTTGTCAACGCCTCAAACGGGAGGTAGAAATCGGTTGACTTTTGGAAGAGGAACTACACAGGATGGAGCTGCTTACTTGATGCGTCTTCCTTGGTGGGTTGAAATATCGGAGCGCCAAGCTGGATTATCTCCCGCTTATTTCCCTTCAACTGCTTGTTGAAGTAAATAAACGTGTGCCCTGAATTATCCATAGTCAAATAAATTACTGAACAAAAAAAGAAAAAAAAAAGATCACAAATCGAAATGCGAGGAGCATCAGAGACTAGGTTTTGATGAGTGACGATTACCCAACAGGCTCTGTGCTCGTTGAAATCATTATCAAGCGGCTAAGAAGCTCAAGAATTGGATAAATATGGGAGATATTTAAGAAGCATTAATCACACGAGCAGTTCTTGGGGGGCTCATACGAACAGCAATTTCGACCCAAAAAGGGAAAATATTAGCATCTTAGCTTCAATTCCATTATATTTCATGAGCTAAACAGCAGAGAATCGATTATATCCAAAACTCATCGACTTCTATTTCCTCTTCAGGTGGCTTTTCAGGATCTGACTGCAACTGGGCTATCGTAGCTACTTTACTGGATGAAGTGAAAGCAAGCGCGAGTAGACTACTGACTGACTGACCTGATAATTCTCCTCGTCGACCTGACAGACGAAGCTCATTGATAAACTCGGTGAGCTTCGAGAGCTCTGAACCTGTGAAGATGTCCTCATACAGCTTCAGACCTTTGACGACATTAACCTCAGAGACACAAAAATACAGTATTTAATAGATTTAGAGAGATAATGGCAAACACAGCCTCAACAAAGATGGCGCGGGTCTGAGAAATCTGTGCGGGGGAGGGGAGTTCTTGCCGTGTTTAGAAAGCTCACTCACCATATGTCCTTTCACTGGTTCCTTCGCCACAAAACCTTTAAACGTCTTAATCCGATCTGGGCGAGCGGCAGGGTCGTCGTGTTCAGACCAGATTTCTGCATCTTCCATTGAACCTGTTGGCGCCTGAGGAGATCCTACGTAAAACAGAGTAGGGAAATTAGAAAGATCATCACCCTGTTTTGCTTCAACAATAACACGAGAAGAAGAAGAAGAAGAAGAAGAAGAAGAAGAAGAAACAAGCAATTGGGCATCTCATCACGCAATGAAACGTGTAAGATCAATGCGGGCAACATGGATTTATGAAAAAAATTGATAATTCTGTGGCTACGCTGAAAAAGGAAATGATATTAATCTGGCTTAAGTATTCCGTTTAGCCCTTGAAGCTGCCAAGAACACAGAGCAAGTCCATAATTAGAACCTAGTGTTCCCCTGGTCTGCCCTCTTTTCTTCCACCCGGAAATGCGTTGACCAATCCATGCATAACACGTAATGGTCGCGTGGAGTTGACCGTCTAGATGCCCACACGTGCCAGAAAAAGATGGCGAGGCGACAAAAATCCCAGGAGAAACAAAAAAGAGTCCCCCCCTGTCGTATCTGACCTTTCAGATTCGAATCACACGGCAGGGAATTCATACACGGAGGGCCGGGAAGGTCATCTAGCTCGGACGCCGAGGCGAGAAACTGTAATTAAGGGGGGGAGGAGGAGGAAGCCACAGGGGGTGGGGGCCGTGGGAGGAGGGAGCTTGGTGCCCCCGCGAGAGTCAAAGACGACGATTCCGCGCCGCCTGTACGAAAACTCGCAATTACCCCGCGAGTTCGCGACAATGACCTCAGAGGACGGGAAGGGGGCAGAGAGCGATGTGGCAGAAAGAAGACGGAAGTGGAAAATCGTCAAAAAATCCCGCCGCTGGCTCGATAGCAGTCATTTCGACGGGTGGAAGATGGAGAGGGGAGAATAAAATGGAATATTCTCCCGGAAGAAATCGGGAGCTGAATTTAGGGGACCCGACGCGTGGATGGGTTGGCGGCCGGAGGATCAAAGGAGAGTTCTGGAAGGCGATCGGCAGGCGACCCCCGGCGGCCGAGGAAAAGTTGTACAGGGTTGAGAGGACGGACGGACGGACGGACGGTCAGGAAGAGAGGGAGGGGGACAGGGAGTGGTTGGGACCGTCCGATCAAGGATCTGTCATCAGACGACGAGCAGCCATGGGGAGGAAACTTCTGATTATCTGAGGACGGCGGCGGACGACCCACCAACCCCTCGGTCGCAGCGGCGTGGGGAGAGTAAGCGGAAGGGAAGGCGCCATTGATTAGCAAGAGGGGTTAGGGTTCTTTCTAATAGTCTGTTGGGCCAGGAAGTACGGGAGAGGAAGAGGACAAAAGCCAGGCAAGGTGACGGAGCAGAGCTTGGAAGAGCTGGTGGCACGAGAAGAGAGCCAACAGATGGCCGCCCGGCGAGGTAGGAGCGCACCGGATTCACCCCCCGGCTACCCACTTGCAGAAGAGAGGGACAGGGAGAGAGAGAGAGAGATGAAGGAACTACCAACGAACCACCAACCGACTTAGCTGGGGTGAAGGGAACAAAAAATCGGAGGAAAAGCAAGATTTGAGTGCCGACGGAACGGAAACCAGATCACAAAAGGATGATTCTGAATGAAGAAAAATGAGAAAAATCGTTACCGTGTGGTCTGTAAAAGAAAGGAAACCAATCAGGGGGAGAGGAGTAGACAGAGAAGATGTGGGGCTTTACCTCCGTCATCGGCGACCGGGGAATCTCCGGAAGAATCTTCCGTCTCCTCGTCTTCCTTCTCCCCGTTCACTACCACCGCGGACACTCGGAGATCGCCATTGATTCGATCTAGGCCCTCCGCCCTCCCGGCCTCTCCTTCCTCACTGGGATTATTGGCCACATCCTGTTCTTCTTTGAGGATGACTCCCGCGCCATTCTTGTTCTTGGCCTCCGACTCCTTCCTCTCCTGTGCCCGCTGTTCCCCGTCCCTGGCCTCTTCCGTCTCTGCCGCTCTCCTGGCAGCGGCAGAGCGACGGAGCTCGATGGAAACGTCAGCAATGGAGAAGTACTTCTGCATGTGCAGGACGGGAATCCAGTTCATCCTTCGCCGGTGTATGGCTGCGAAAATGGCGTCGTAGTCCCCGGCTGCCGATCCTCGCTCGTCGATCTGAGTTAGGTGGCTGCAAAGGGCGTCGATTATGGCGTTCGCCGCCGCAAACTCTCCTCGGAACCAGGCAATGATGGCGTCCCTCGCGAACACCTCCGGAAAGGGAACTGCCGCCTTGGCCACCGGCGGCGGCGCAGGCCCTCCGACGGCTGCCGCTTTTGCTCCCACCGCCGCTCCCCCCCCCGGGGTCGCGGCCATCGACATGGGCGGCGCCAGATTGATCTCCCAGGAGGTTCACCTCCTCCTGACAGATCAAGGAGACCCCCACGCGCGACGTTCTGTTCCGAGCACGGAGAAACAGAGAGAGAAGACGGCGAGCTGCCGGAGACGAGCAAACGGAGGAAGGAAGCACGGAGGAAGGAGAGAGAGAGAGAGAAAGAGAGAGAGAGAGAGAGAGAGACGATGCGTCTGCGCGTACCGGAGAGCAAGCCGGGGCCATTTATACGAAAGGGCGGGCGGGCTGGGAGTGCAGTGCGGGGGCTGCTCGCCACGAGGCGCGTCGCCAGGAGGACTCTACGTGTCCAATGACGTGGCGTCTCATTGGTTGATTCCGCCGTCAGTAATGACACGTGTCATGCAAATCTCTTCTTAGTCAACATCTCCGCGGTTCCAGGGTCTTGATTAGCTCCTCTAGTTATTTCCACCTCACCCCGATTCGATGACGTGGCGTATTAAAAAAATCTACGCTACTCTATATTAACGTTTTTGTGGATTTGACATTATGTTAAATGTAGCTTGACCTTCGCTTTCGTGGCTTTCCCTTTCCAGTCCGGTTCATGTGAACCGGAAAACGACCCGGGCCGCCGTCCAGTTGACGGCGATCTCTACCTCTGTTTCTCGGACGGTGGGGCCCAATGACGTCAGCGCGCACGCCCGCCAGGCGGTGAGTTGGCCTCGCGGAGCAACCCGAGCCTCGATTGTGCTCCGCCGGGGGATAAGGGAGGTTCACCCTCGATATCGATAAAATATCATCGCGCACGTACCGTCCTCACTCAATAATTTACGCACGTTCTTCGCGTTGGGCTTGAATTTTTTTCTGAATTATTGGAATTTCCAATGCACTTTCTCCATCCTCTGTGGCTCTGCTCCGCCTCTCTTGTACATTTCTTGTAAAATAAAATAAAATTATAGAATAATGCATATTTCTTATTTTATGCAGGTCAATTGTATTTTTCCACTTGAGAAAAATAGGGTTGTGGAGCCAATTTTGTCTATGTGAGTTGACCAGGCTTGCCATGCTTTGATGGATACTTTGGTCTGGTGTACCGCTTGCTTGCCCAATGAGATCCACCCTCTTCTTGACTTTTGTGGGGGCCTAAGGTTGACTTCTGGACAATTCTCTCTCTCTCTCTCGCTCTCTCTCTATAACACAAACAAACACAGAAATTGCAAGACACACACGTACACCATTAAACGTATTAAAAAAATACAACATGTCGTTGTTTTCAAAGGTGTAAAATTGTGGGAGTTGATCAGATTCGAGTAAATATCTAAGAAGTTTGTTTGACACTTTCTCTCTCTCTCTCTCTCTCTCACTAAGCCACTTGGTTGAGAAGATGACAACAAATAGAGAGAGAGTGCATGCTCTCTATTTGATGGGTCAGAGAGAGGCCCCACATATGATTTTTTATGTAAAAATAGAATAATAGAATGATATCAAAAGCCATATTATTGGTCAATAATGCCTCATAATGCTCAAAGGGTATAATAAAACGATATATTTGGATATCATTGATAAAAGTCTTACCAAATACGGATATGATACATCGACATTACTCAATCAAGCAGCCTCACGCCGCCGGATATTAAGTAATCAACACACGAACCCTGAACCTCCTTATTTTAGCTTTCTGGTCTCCGGTCCAATGGCCATTAACGTTCACGTTGAGTAAGCCCGTCTATAAAGTATGAGAGAGATGAGAGAGAGAGAGTTATGATGCGACGCGCATGGCGAGTGACATGTAGAGGCCTGAATTAGATAGAGTAAACAAGTCCAGTGAATTCGTAGCGTTGCACTTGGTCGACATTTTGAGGTATTACAAAAGTCAGATTTGCTTAATTTAGCATAAGAATCTCTCTCTCTCTCTCTCTCTCTCTCTCTCTCTCTCTCTCTCTCTCTCTATCTCTCTCTCTTGCCAACAGTCAGTGCGTATGAGCGTGGAGAATTCGACGACGGGAAGGGGGGAAGGGGGGAAGGTAGGAGCTACGCGGGACACGTGTTCGGTTAACAAGTGATCGGCGCATGTTAGAGGGTTCCGGTCTAATGGTCCCGCTCATGCGTAAACATTAAACGCAGTGGGGCCTCCATCGCGCGTGGGCGGTCGAATAACATGCTGGGCCGGTTGCTATTCATGGATCCCACGTGGCGGCGGTGGCGCTGCCCACCACCTGTTTGGCAAGTTGGCCTTCCCTTTCGTCTTCATCGACAGGCCTGAGAACACCTATTATCTAGCGAGCGAGTGAGCGAATGAGAGAGAGAGAGAGAGAGAGAGAGAGAGAGGAATCCGAATCCGAATATTACTTGAAACGAGAGGCGAGCTTCTTCGTAATTTGGATAAAAATATGCCCTTTTTATCGCTCTTTTGGGTAAAGTCCTTCACATGGAGGCCTGGAGAGAGAATTCAAGCGTTATATGATCCAGCTGACTATCGGATCTATACCGGTAGGCATCCGGGAAGGCCGTTGCAACGGCCCACGTCAGCATACGGCGGCGGCTTCCTCCGGCTGGATCGTTCTGTTTCCTCGTTTCGCCAAACATGCTTTCCTGTAGATCGCGGCGCCTCCGACCGGCCACCAATCAGGAAGGGCACCGCCAAAGCCGCCGAAATTGGTTGACCTGCCGCAGGATCATTCTCCCTGAAGAGGCTTCACCGCCGCCTGTCTCCAAAGGCGGCGGTCGGCCGAGGAACTTACTAAAAATGAACCACCCCCTAATTACTTAGGGCCTTGAAGCGGCCGCCAGCCGCCAGGGTGGTCAACTAGTTTAAGTTCCTTGATTAGTTGACCTACCAGACAGTAGTCTTGCTGTTGGGATGGAGGGCTCTTTAATGGCGTCAGCGGCTAGAGTTGACCCGGCTAAGGTAAACCCAGGTCCCCAAAATTTCCTATCTTGGGGATGATGTGGCGCGAGGTCTGTGCAGAGATAAATCCGATAATTAATTAATTTAATGTTTTTTTAATCATTTTGCGAAAGTGGTCAATACAAAGTCGGATCATTGGAAGTCTTTGGCGTCTTCTACATTAGAAGAATTTAAGTTAGAATTAAAGATGTTTAAGTTCCCTTGGAAGCGCTACGTATGAACGTGAAGTTCATATGGTGCAGCTATGAAGTTCATATGTTTAAGTTCTCTCCTTCTCTCTCTTATTTCCTTTTCTCTCTCTATCTTTCTGTGACTTCATCCGTCTTCTCCCCATACTTCTTCTCATCTCTCTTCCCATTCTCTCTCCTCCCTTTTGATGCTCTCTTCCTTTCCGTTTTCACGGCGCAGCGAAGAGACCTTCCTTCGACGTGAAGTGCCACGGAATCAGCCTCCTCATTCGTGCGTTGACCATTCTGGACCAAGAGTCTCGAGCCCCAGCTTGAAGAACTCTTTCCCTTTAAAGCGAACCGGTCCCCACAAGGAAGAGAGAAGAGGAGACGACTGAAGTCTTGTCCTCTTTCTCACTGCTCACCTCCAGGACACTGATGAGAAATCCTTGTCGCCTTCTCTCTCTCTCTCTCTCTCTCTCTCTCTCTCTCGCCTGTGTCGTCGTGCGCTGTGTGGAGATTTCATAGAGGAGGGAGAATGCCGCACGGTGGCTTCATCATGAACGAATGTTCCTTTCCTTTCTCCAAAGTTATATGCTCGCATATATTTACTTCACAAGCTTCATCCCTGCTTCTAGGAAGCCTCCTCCTCACAAGGAGGTAACTAGAGCTCTCTCTTTTCAGTCTACTATATCCCCTTACTAAATAAAGGCTGGTGACGTTAAGTTACTGCGAGAAAGATCGCATCACTTTGGAAATAAAACCCTCTCAGGCTCTAAGTTTAGAACGACTGGTCGGATCACTACTCCAACGTTACCTCTACTCTATGTGGGGCTGATCCATCATTATCTCTGCCTTTGCCACACCTTGACGGTCTTTCTAGATGGAAAGCTTGTTTGGTTTGTTCCTCCATAAGGTAACCTATCTCCCAGCGGGTTGACTTCTCTATGGCTTACCATCCCACATTATTGGAAGCTCACTCATAGGGGCTCTGACTCATGACTGGGTTCGTTCTCCAGTGGGGCGACTTGCTGAATGAGAACTCTTCATTGTGTCTCACCATCTCACCAAAGAAGAAGGCGTCTCGTAGAGCCAACGACCGTTGACTTGGGCTATTCCTCCATCATCTCCACAGCACGACTTGCTTATTGCCGAATGGGTTATCTGTCCTTGAAGACGATCAGGCATTTGGACACTGAGCGCTGACTTGGCTTATTCCTCCGCAGCATCGTGAGTTATTGCCAAATGAGTTATCTTCTATATGCGTGTTAACCCAAGGTCGACGTAGAACAGCTCTAGAGAGCAGCCAAATGATCACTTGGTCCGACCCAAAACTTCTGTGACTACACCTCTTAGAGTTGACTTTGGGGACTCGTATAAGTATCACCCAATGGAAGAAGATAGTGAGTTCCTCAGGTTGCTTGGCTGATTAGTGGGTCCAGCAAATATCTCTGTGCGTCAATGTGACTCTACAGAGTGTGTTTGGGGCAAATGGGTTGACCGAATCATCTCAAAAGAGATGGAGACGCTCCACAAGAAGATAGGCCCACCAAATTTTCACTGATACCACTTTATTTGGCTGTCATTCACTTAGACAAAGTCAGTCAACTTCTTCCCCACTATCTATTGATCAGCTTCGATGATAGATTTCGAGCTGTACGGCCATGTTGGTTATTCTCACCACCCAACGTCTCTCGGTCAATCCTCCAAGAGTAGAGAGGGCACAACGGCAATAAAGTTTACAAGAAGGGTATGATGGATGAGGGAGGGCACAGTCGATCGAATCCGATGCCCCAGATGCCTGAAAGGCCATTCACGCCGTCCACTTTTCTTACCCTTTTCGTGAAGACGACTCGTGAAGGAGAGGTCGATATCGAAAGTCTTCACGTGGGTGCAACCGCCATCGGATGATATTTATTCAGCCCTACTCACGGACGGTAGCACGCCTCTCTCTCTC